AAGTACTACGGGGAGGTATGGAAGTCATTAGTGCTGTTTGTCAATAGTTCTGCTCTCCGCCTCCCAGACACACTATAGGATCGTATATCCTCCTCCCTGTGGTTGGCTGAGACATGTGTCTAGTCTTGATGAGGAGTTGGGTTTGGAAGCAAACACTTATTTGCAGGGAGACCTTCCAGAGTTCTCTTTACTCTGTCACTGTGCCTAGCAACTTTTGAGGGGGTGTCTGCTCCATCAGCCTGGCTCCTTGAGTGACTAACAAGCAGAGCCCTCTGCCAGCCCTCAATGGCAGTGTGAGCAAGGAACAAAGCTTTACCATCAAAAGTCACTGAGACTTGAAATTTGGTTGTTACTGAAGCATGACTTAGCCTGTTGTCATGGTACAGAGGAGATTTTAACATTAGCATATTTAACATATTTAATATCTAATTAGAATCAACTGAAGTTAAAAGATTGCTATTAGAAATTAATCCCAATAAAAGGAAATAATTATATATTTCAACTGTTATACAACCCTTGATTAAGGGTACTGTGATGTTCAATACTATTAACACTCCCTTCTCCCAGACAGTCTGAGCTAGGCAATGCCGACATGTACCTTCTCCTTTGCTACACTTTGTTTTATTTATTAAGTTTTTATTTTAATCCAATATGGTTAACATACAGTGTTATATTAGTTTTGGGTGTACAATATAGTGATTCAACAATTCTGTAGATCACGTGGTACTCATCATGGTAAGTGCACTCCTTAATCCCCAACACCTATTTCCCCCATCCCCCCCCACCTCCCCTCTGGCAACCATCAGTTTGTTCTCTGTAGTTAAGAATCTGTCTCTTGGTTTATCTCTCTCTTTTTGTCCCCTTTGCTCATTTGTTTTATTTCTTAAATGCCACATATGACTGATATTATATGTCTTTCTATGAATTATCACTTAGCATTACACTCTTTAGCTCCATCCATGTTATTGTAAATGGCAAGATTTCATTCTTTTTTATGGCTAAATCATACACACACACACACACCCCACATCTTCTTTATCCATTCATCTACCAATGGATACGTGGACTTGCTTCCACAATTTGGCTATTGTAAATAATGCTGCAATAAACATGAGGGTGCATATATCCTCTTGAATTAGTGTTTTGGGTTTTGTTTTTTTGGTTTTTTTGCATAAATACACAGTGGTACCTTTACTTTTTTTAACTTTCTGAGGAAGCTCCATACTGTTTTCCACAGTGGCTCCACCAATTTGCATTCCCACCAACAGTACACAAGGGTCCCTTTTTCTCCACATCTTCGTCAATACTTGTTTCTTGTGTTGTTGATTTTAGACATTCCGATAGGTGTGAGACGATATATTGTAGTTTTGATTTGTATTTCCCTGATGATGAGTGTTGTTGAGCATCTTTTCATGTGTCTGTTGACCATCTGTATGTCTCCTTTGGAGAAATGTCTGTTCATGTTTTCTGCCCATTTTTTAATTGGATTATCTGGTTTTTGGGTGTTGTGTTTTGTAAGTTCTTTGTATATTTTGGATACTAACCCTTTATCAGAGATGTCATTTGCAAATACCTTCTCCCATTCCATAGGTTGCCTTTTAGTTTTGTTGATTGTTTCCTTCGCTGTGCAGAAGCCTTTTATTTTGGTATAGTCCCAATAGTTTATTTTTGCTTTTATTTCCCATGCCTCAGGAGACACATCTAGAAAAATGTTGCTATAGCTGATGTCAGAGAAATTACTATCTGTGCTCTATTCCAGGATTTTTATGGTTTCAGGTCTCACATTTAGGTCTTTCATCCATTTTGAATTAATTTCTGTGCATGGTGTACGAAAGTGGTCCAGTTTCACTCTTTTGCATGTAGCTGTCCAGTTTTCACACCACCATTTGTTGAAGAGACTGTCTTTTTCCCATTGCATATTCTTTCCTCCTTTGTCAAAGATTAATTGGCCATATAATTATGGGTTTATTTCTGGGTTTTCTATTCTGTTCCATTGATCTATGTGTCTATTTTTGTGCCAGTACCATACTGTTTTGATCACTACAGCTTTGTAGTATGATGTGAAGTCTGGAGGTAGTTTTTCTCCAGTTTTGTTTTTCTTTTTTAAGATTGCTGTGGCTATTCAGGGTATTTTGTGGTTCCATACAAATTTTAGGATTGTTTGTTCTAGTTCTGTGAAAAATGCTGTTGGTATTTTGATAGAGATTGTATTAAATCTGTAGCTTGCTTTGGGTAATATAGACAGTTTAACAATATTTGTTCTTCCAATCCATAAGCATGGAATGTCTTTCCATTTCTTTGTGCCTTCTTCAGTTTCTTTCATCAATATGTTTTATACCTTTTAGACTACAGATCTTTTACCTCTATGGTTAAGTCTTATTTCTAGGTACTTTATTATTTTGTGGTGCAATTGTAAGTGGGTTGTTTTATTAATTTCTTTTTCTGCTGCTTCATTATTAGTACATAGAAGTGTAACAGATTTCTGTACATTGGTTTTGTATCCTGTGACTTTACTGAATTCATTTATTAGTCCTGACAGTATTTTGGTGGTCTTTTGGATTTCTATATAGAGCATCATGTCATCTGCAAATAATGAAAGTTTGACTTCATCCCTGCCACCTTGGATGCCTTTTATTCCTTTTTCTTGTCTGATGGCTGTGGCTAGGTCTGCAGTACTCTGTTGAATAAAAGTGGTGAGAGTAGACATTCTTGTCTTGTTCCTGACCTTTGGAGAAAAGCTCTCCATTTTCTCCACTGAGTATGATGTTCACTGAGAGTTTTTCATATATGGCTTTTATTATGTTGAGGTATATTCCCTCTAACCCTATTTTGTTGAGGGATTTTATCATGAATTGATATTGTTCTTTGTCAAATGCTTTTTCTGTATCTATTGAAATGATCATATGGTTTTTATCCTTACTCTTATTGATATGAAATATCATGCTGATTGATTTGTTAATTTTGAATCACCTTTGCATCCTGGGAATAAATCCCACCTTATTGTGCTGAGGGACTTTTTTAATGTATTGTTGGATTCAGTTTGCTAGTATTTTGTTGAGGATTTTTGCATCTGTATTCATCAGAGATATTGGCCTATAGTTCTCCATTTTTGTGGTGTCTTTATCTAGTTTTGGTATCAGGGTAATGCTGGCCTCATAGAATGAATTTGGAAGTTTTCCTTCCTCTTATTTATTTTTTTTTTTTTGGAATAGTTTGAAAAGAGTAGGTATCAACTCTTCTTTAAATGTTTGGTAGAATTCCCCTATAAAGCCATCTGGTCCTGGACTTTTGTTTGTTGGGAGTTTTTTGATTACTGATTCAGTTGCCTTGCTAGTAATTGGTCTGTTCAAATTTTCTGTTTCTTCCTGCTTCAGTTTTGGTAGGTTATATGTTTCTGGGAATTTACCCATTTCTTCCAGGTTGCCCAATTTGTTGGCCTAAATTTTTTCATAATATTCTCTTACAATTGTTTATATTTCTGTGGCATTGGTTATTATTTCTCTTCTCTCATTTGTGATTTTGTTTATTTGAGTCCTCTTTCTCTCTCTCTCTCTCTCTCTCTCTTTGATGAGTTTGGCTAGAGGTTTATCAATTGTATTTTTTTTTTCCGAAGAACCAGCTCCTGGTTCTTTGATCTGTTCTGTTGGTTTTTTGTTTGTTTGTTTGTTTGTTTGTTTAGTTTAGTTTAATTTCTATACCATTTCTTTCTGCTCTAATCTTTATTTCCTTCCTTTGGCTGGCTTTTAGTTTTGTTTGCTCTTCTTTTTCTAGCTCCTTTAGGTGTAAGTTTAGGTTGTTTATTCCTTTTCTACACTTTTCATTGTTCACTATGCCACCTTCTGATGGTTAGTCTTTCTTTAATTGTTGCTGCCTTTATTTTAAAAGTCATACAGTTATTTAAAAAATGAACAGTTTAGAATCAAATGAAAAAGATCTGCTTTCTCTCCTCCCTACTAGCCTACCTAATTTAACCTAATTTAACTTATTTACCTGTTTCTTTTTAATGACAACAGAGTTTTCTATTTCAAAGATTTACTATCCTTAATTTAACCGGTCATACAGCTGTTTAAAAAATGCATAGTTTAGGAACAAATGAAAAAGATCTGCTTTCTCTCCTCCCTACTAACCCTACTTCCTAAGGTTCAGTTTGGAGTCCACCCCTCCAGGAATTTTCTTTGCAGTTCCCAATACAAATGAATCCCACTCTTCATATTGTTCTACATCTTGCTTTTTTACTTTGTTTTTCAAGTATCTATTCATGTTGGTGCATATTTACCTGTTTCTTTTTCTTTTTAATTACAACAGAGTTTTCTGTTTCAAAGATTTACTATCCTTAATTTAACTGGTTGCTGTTGATAGACATTTTTGGTCTTTCCGGGCTTTTGCTATTGTTAACTTGCACAAGTGTGCAAATTAATCCAGAGGGAAAATTCCTAAAATTGGAATTCTGAGTTGCAGGGAATTTGCAGCTTAAATGCCAATAAATATTGCCAATTCCTTTCCCAAAGGTTGAATCAATTGAATGGGATTGTATATCAATACAGTGTGAAAATTCTTTTTCCACTGTCAAGAACACAGGGTACTATGAAACATTTTTAAATCTCTGCCATTATAATCAAGGAAAAGAGATATTTTGTTATGGTTTAAAGTGTATTTCCTTAATTATAGGTGAGTGTGTGCTTGTTCTTTCTTTAAATATGTTAATACTTTTAGTATAGTGAGGCCTAAATGGATTCTTTCTCTTTAAGCTGAGTTGTTTTTATGATTTGAATCTTGGAGAATAGCCTTATTTTTAAGCATCAAAAAAGTAGCTCAATGTTGTTATTATTCATTTACTGAATAAACAGGGCTCACAGCATTTCTAAGACCTTGATATATATATATATATATATATTGCCACTGGGGTGTTTTATAATGACTTCATCCAAGGCAGATGGGCTGGGAATTGGCCGGCCCTTTCACCTCTCAGTTAATTGATGTGACATATTATTTCATTGCAGCAATTCAGCTTTGTGTCCTTGCCCACTGATGTACTGGAAATTGAGGTGAAGGACAAGTTTGCTAAGAGCCGCCCCATCATCAAGCGCTTCTTGGGAAAGCTGTCGATGCCCGTTCAAAGACTCCTGGAAAGACACGCCATAGGGTAAACCCGTGACTGAGACCTCAATATCACTAAGTCTTCAGCGAGCAGGCGAAGGGAGGCCTGCAAGCTGCAACAATATAGTCTCGCGGAGACTCAAACTAAAATGGTGGTATTGAATTTCCTTGGCTTTTCCCGTTAATTATGTTGCTCCAGCCACAACATTCAATTAAATAAACCCTTCCCTTTCCTCTTGTTTGTGTACCACTGGTTACTTATGCAAGAGAGTAGAAAATCCCAAGACAATATTGAAAGAAGCCCTGTTTCAACTATTCAACTCTGCCATTGTAGCATGAAAGCAGCCCCAGACAATAAGTAAACTAAAAAATGGGGCATTTTTCTATACAGGTAGAAATTAAAATTTGCTTTACTATCAAGAATATTATTTCTGCTTGTGTGTAGGATTTAATCATTTGGGACGTTCCTATAACAAGATGAAATCCTAGGTTACTAGAGTAGAGAGACTTAGAAAATGCTAGTATTTGTAGAAAATGCTAGATAGTATGTATGAAATTTTAAAAGCATGAATTCTCATGGACGACAGCAATTAAGTTACTTGCAGAATTCAGTTGTATATAAGAATGTTTCTGTTAGTATCTTTTATTTTCATGTCCTCTCATGAGTCTCATTAAAATGGACTCTTACCAGATGAAATATTTCTCTATAGTATATATTTCCTTAGTTAATAGCAACTATATTTGAAAATGCTAGGTATAGTTCTCTGGCCATAAATGTACGCTCTGCTATGCTATACAATTGTAACCCTTAGAATGATATCAAAGGAATGAGGAGAATCTGCAGAATTTCCAAGTTTCTTCATTTAAAACTTTTTGGATTTTCAGGACTTCAGAATCACTAATGATTATCATAAGGACATTTAATTAGAACCTTATAGCATGTGTGCAGCTGTGTGCATACTGGCATGCCATTAACTCTCAAGCCAAAGAGAGAGACATTGGTGGAGTTATAGCCATGTGTCAAACACAGTGTTTGCACTTTCCACTTATGGTTGTGAGGATTAAACAAACAAATGTACATAAAGAATGTAAAGCAGTCCCTGGCACCTGGGGACTAAAGTACCTTAAACCATTCCTTTTTTTTTTTAATGCATAATCATGACTTTTAAAATAAAGGCAACTCAGAAGTCTCCCTCAATTCCTTTGCCTGTAACACCCCAGCCCTAAGCTGGCTCTCTGCCTCTCCTGAGTCCTATAATTGGACCACCTCAGCTTCACGTGGGATATCACTGGCTGCCTGGAACTTTTTATTGAGTAGTCCTGCCTTATGCCTCTAGCTGGATGTAAGTTATTTAAAGGCAAGCCTATGCATTACATCCTTTGTATCAACTGTGGCACTTTTCACATGGCACAGGCTCAAAAAATATTTGTTAATAAAGTGAGTGAGAAGCAGAGGAAAGAAAAGCTTGGAACAAATGCAAAGCGTAGAAAATTTAGTTTTTATCTCACCGCCTGGTTGTCTTTAGGCATCTCCTGATTTCAACTAGGTTTTGAATTCAAGATCTCTTTCCTGGGCGCCTGGGTGGCTCAGTTGGTTAAGCAACTGCCTTTGGCTCAGGTCATGATCCTGGAGTCCCAGGATCGAGTCCCACATCAGGCTCCCTGCTCAGCAGTGAGTCTGCTTCTCCCTCGGACCCTCCCCCTTCTCACGCTCTCTCTCTCTCTATCTCATTCTCTCTCTCAAATAAATAAATAAAATAAAAATCTTTAAAAATAAAAAAAAGATCTCTTTCCTATGGTCATAGTAGATTTGCTTCATTACATTGACCAAGCTCCTTTCTAAATAAACAAAATATTGTGGTTCATTCTGTTTTCCAACATATAATGCTTTACTTAATGGACCTCCTAGGAACTTCAAACACTAAACTATGGTTTACTAAAGAAATATATTAACTTAGTGTGTCCCTGGGATATCTGTTGTTCCATAATGCTGGTATTTTCTAGAAACATTAAAACACTACCATACAGCAATTTATCTTTTTATTTTAGTATGACCAATGAATAAAGGGAATGAATACAGAATCATCTGAGTACCAAACGGTTTTGGAATATGTCTTGTTAGTATTAGATAAACTGGATTTGTCAATTCTTGAATATCCAAGGTAGTTACCTTTCCTATTTAAGCCAAGGTTGGGGGCGGGGGGTGATGGTAATGTACTCTGCTAAAGCTTACATTGTTGATGGAACTGTAAAAGCAAAGTATCAAGTTGATTCCCCCTGGATAATTCTCTTCTTTGTAATCAAGAAATTGCCCTGAGTAGGCAGAGGGGATGATGCCAGATGCCAGGATGCAGTTTCAGAATCTGTATGTAGGACTGTGGAGCTGGTGTAACTGGAAACCAACCTACAAGTCTTGCTTCAGTCCATCCTGCAGCAGGTCCCTTTCTGAAGCACTCCACAGCTCTCCACACCACTCCAGTAACCATGACAGCATCCTTTCTTAGACTCTATGTATATATACTTGCAAGACATGCATCTGTTGCTGGCAATGTCCATTAAGGGCATTGGAAAATGTCAGCCTGCACAAGAAAAGCAAGCAAAGATATCCATGTCTTTTTTGTTGTTATTGTTGTCTTTTTGGGGTTTTCTTGGCTTAGAACACAGGTTGGCAGAAAATCTTCTGTAAAGGGCCAAGTAGTAAATATTTTAGGCTTTGTGGACCGTGTAGTCTCTGTTTCAACTATTCAACTCTGCCGTTGTAGCATGAAAGCAGCCCCAGACAATAAGTAAACTAATAAGCATGGCTGCATTCTAAGAAAACTTTTATTTGGGGAACTGAAATTTGAATTTCAGACAATTTTCCTGTGTCACAAAATATTATTCTTCTTTTGGTATTTTTTTTTCTAACCATTTTAAAACGTAAAAAGCTCATAGCTGTACAAAAATAGGTGGTGGGCCAGATTTGAGCCCTGGGCTACAGTTTGCTCACTCCTGCTTTAGAATATTCAATGAGGATTTTCTTGAAGTTTTTCATTGCTGTTGAGCAGATGCACTTTCCCACATTTACCTTATGTCCATCTTCTATGCACCTGAGCGGATCATCACCTCCTATTAGCAGGGCCTCCCCGGACTTGCCTATCTCACCTCCTGGCATAGAAAGCATGCTGTATGATCTTCAAGGAGAGGTACTGACCAGATCTGTAAATGGTGCTTATTTCCTTCTAGGGATAGGGTGGTCAGCTATACACTTGGCCGCAGGCTTCCAACAGATCATGTGAGTGGACAGCTGCAATTCCGATTTGAGATCACGTCCTCCATCCACCCAGGTATTTTTGGCATGAACTTCATGTCTTGTCCTAGCCTAGGGTTGGTGTGCTTCCTTTCTCTAAAATACAATAACCATGGTTCTCTCCAGACATGTCCTAGGTTTTGTGGTTCTCTCTCTTCTCCATTTGAGGCCCAGAAGCCAGTGATCTGTTCTGGAAGCCAGGTTGCTGTCCCCTTGATTGAGAGGCTCCTCTTCATTCTGGTGACCCAAAGGTAGAGGGTTAGACAGGGGAGTGGGATTTGACAATGAGGCCAACACGGGTATGGAGCCGTGTCTAATTTATCATTTTACTCCCAGCACCCACATAGGAGATGCTCAATAGATGCTTAATCATTGCATACATGAATGAATGAATGAATGAATGAATGAATGAGAAACATGAATGAATATGATACATATCATATTATGGAAGAACTATTATTGGATACAATGGATTTATCCCAGGGAAAAATGAAAAACATAAGTTAGACAGAAAACTTCAGAATCATCCAGTTTTCTGTTTTTCAAGCCAAAACGTATACCCAAATAAGAATGATGAGATGCCTCATAATTCCACTTTTGTTCTTCTCCCACAACCCCTATACTAAGTGTAGATCATGCTGAGAATTAGCCAGTCCTTCTAGGCCACATGTATGAGTTGCTGGTAATGCTAATGAGGCTTTGAAAACTCTGTAGTCTGTAGTTTATCACTGCCCCCTCATTGAAGACCAGTCGTACTTGCCTATGCCCAATATATAATGCAGAGTGTAAGAAAACACCCCGACTGCTTTGTCCTTTCACACCCAGCCTTTTCTTCATCCTGAGAATAAAATTGACTCTTCCTTCACTGAAGCAGTAAAGATGGCCTCATGGCTCACCAGAGAGATCATTCATCTTCAATGAATACATTGCACTAGTGCTTTTGAAATGGGAAGTTCACACCGGGCAGGGATCCAACAGAGCAAGCAACTGGGGGAAAGTAGAAGTAAACAGTGGTTGCTGTTCCTTGAATGGTTGCTTGATGTGGAGACCTTGTTTATTTTCCATTGCAATAACCCCCAAATGTTGGAGGCCTCGCAGTCTGAGCTACTGAAGGACCCTGGTTGCTCCCATCAACTAGCCATTTTCTGCTCTGTAGTTGTTGAGAACCTGGCTTACCCATTCTGCCACCTGCTGGACCCAGCCAGAGGAGACACTCTCCGCCAGCGTTAACCTTGCCCGCTATGGCAAGGCACTAATAACCCCCAAGGGCTTCTTTGCAGTCTTCCCTGAAGCAAACATTGTTGAGCACCCACTATGTGCCAGGAACTGGGGTAGTTCTAGGCTTTGGGTATTTTAACCAAAACTATGAATTCCCTTGAAACAGAATTCTGAAATATGTCACGACTGCAAACTGTCATTAACATAAGGAGAACTCATCCTTACAGAATTTTTTAGCAGAGCTTTGGCCTACGGGAACCCCTCATCAATGCCTGCATCCAATATCCTCACGCAGAAATCCTTTTAGGATGGCTTACAGGGCCGGCAGAGTACACCAATGCGCTAACCGCACAATGCTCTCTTCTGGAAGAAATGACATTTTCTTCTCGCCCGCAGATGACGAGGAGATTTCCCTGAGCGCCGATCCTGAGTCCGCGGAAATTCGGGACAGCCCCATGAACAGCCTGGTGGCCAGCAGCCGCGGGGAGCCTCCGGGCGAGGCACTGGAGCCCTCCGGGAGCTCGAAGCCCGAGCCGCCGAGCCAGGGCAGTGCCGGGGACGCTGCCGGGAGCGAGAGCCTGGAGCTTGCCGAGCCGGTTGAGGAAGCGGCAGGTACCACCGAGGCAGGAGACGACGGAGCGGGCTCTGTGGGACCTGACGGGGCTGGGGAGCTTCTGGGCCCGGGGCGCGAGGACGCCGAGCCCGCCCTGAGTGCGGAAGAAGTGGCCGAGCGGCTGGAGCTGGGTGGGGAGGCGCCCCCAGCGGGGCTGCCGGAGGACGGCGAAGCCCCGGGCGGCGCCGGGGAGCCGGAGGCGGAGGAAGCGGCCACAGAGAGCCGGGCGGGGGGAGAGGAGAAGGAGCAGGCGGAGGAGGAGGAGGGCGACGTGTCTGCCCTGGGGCAGGGGGAGGACAGGCTGCAGCTGCGGGCCTCGGTGAAGAGGAAAAGCCGGCCATGCTCCTTGCCGGTGTCCGAGCTGGAGACGGTGATTGCGTCGGCTTGCGGAGACCCCGAGACCCCGCGGACACACTACATCCGTATCCACACCCTGCTGCACAGCCTGCCGTCCGCGCAGGGCGGCCCGAGCGACGAAGGCCCGGAGGAGGAGGCCACCCTCCAGGATGCCTCGGAGAAGGACGGCCTTAGCGAGGCGGACACGCTAGCTGGCGCGCCACCTCCCCTCGGAGAGGAGGGGGAGGAACCCGAGGGGGCGACTCCAGGCACGGCGACCCCCGGCCACTCGGGCTTGACCAACGGCCTCGTCCCCGACGGCGACATGCTCCCCAGCACGGGTAGTGAGAGCGACTCGAGCCCCCGGCAGGGCGGGGACCACAGCTGCGAGGGCTGCGACACGTCGTGCTGCAGCCCCTCCTGCTACAGCTCCTCGTGCTACAGCACGTCGTGCTACAGCAGCTCCTGCTACAGCCCCTCCTGCTACAACGGCAACAGGTTCGCCAGCCACACCCGCTTCTCCTCGGTGGACAGCGCCAAGGTCTCCGAGAGCACTGTCTTCTCGTCGCAAGACGACGACGACGACGAGAACAGTGCGTTCGAGTCCGTGCCGGACTCGGTGCAGAGCCCGGAGCTGGACCCGGAGTCGGCCAACGGTGCCGGGCCGTGGCACGACGAGCTGGCCACCCCCGCCGGGAGCGTGGCAAGAACCGTGGAAGGTCTGGAGTCCCCCGTGGCAGGGCCAAGCAATCGGAGAGAAGGTTAGACCTCAAACCTGATCAGAGTGAGAATAGGACCACCAGGGGGACGCAGGTCTCACCAACAAGGTTTAAAAACAAGTGAGAGGATCAGTCTCAAATGGGGTTGCTGGGGCAATGTATGCCTGTCCTGTACATGTATGTGTGCATGTGTCTATGTGTATGTAAGTATCCGTGGCTGCGACTAGCACACATCCACCACCTCTCAGATATACACCAAGAAGTACAGCTAGTGCACTCCTGTGAGTGTGCTCTTGTATGCGAGCGTCTCTGTTTTACCCAATCACTAGAACTGGTTAGTGCACGTTACCCTTCTAGTCTTGACAATGACCAGAGCACCAGAGGCAGTATTGAATGACATAAACAGAAAACATTCGGCAACATTCGGTGGATAATGTGTAAATATCTGCTGACTTCCCAAAACATATTGGAGATGAGCAATAAACGTTAATATAAATTGGAGAACATTGATTTTACCTCTGCTTTAGAATTTAACTTAGCCTATGTACATATGGAAATGTATAGCCTACATATATTTGTCATTATTTCTGTCTGCTCAGTTCTCGTTATTGTTGTTTTTTTTACTATTATTCAGCTTATTCAATCTAAAAACAAAAACAGCTCACCCATTTCTCCCATTCCCACTCCTGCCTCTGGCAACCGTCAATCTGTTGCCTGTTCTCTTGAAAACTAAAAAACGTTAATGAAAGAAATCGAAGAAGACACAAATAAATGGGAAGATCTTCCATGCTGATGGATTGGAAGAATCCATACTGTTAAAATGCCCATTCTACCCAAAGAAATATTATTACAAGATTGCAAGATTCCAGGCAGTCCCTATCAAAATTCCAATGGCATTTTTCACAAAAATAGAACAAACGATCCTATGATTTATATGGAACCATAAAAGACCCCAAATAGCCAAAGCAGTCTTGAGAAAGAACAAAGCTGGAGGCCTCATGCTTTCTGATTTCAAACTGCAAAGCTATAGTAATTAATTCTGGTGTTGTGTTTTGTTGTTTTTTGTTTGTTTTGTTTTATTTTGGCTAACGGAAGGGAGAAATAACTTGAATTCGTAAATCTCTTTGTTTCAAGTGGGATTCTAATCCCAAAGCCGCCACCTTTAGTTTTAAAATATATTCTGTATTTTAACCCAAGATGTTTCTTCTTAGTCGTGCCTGTGGAGTCTTCTATAAAATTAACTCACATTTCTTTATCCAGATTTGGGAACCATCTTCCAGTGAAGTGACAGTGACATGGGGGGAAATAGTTCAAAGGTCACATAATACTATGAAATAATTCCATTGCTTTAAAGGAGAAAAATATAGATTCTGATGTTTTTCTGCTCTCCTGTTTACGGTAGCCTCCAAACAAAGTGGTGGTATTGTCTCTAGATTGTACGCTCATCAAGGGCCAGAACTGTATTTTCTCCATGTTTGATTCTTAGCACCTACACAAATGCCTGGCACCTGCAAATTTTTAGAGGAACCAAAGTGAGCACAAAAATTAATCCTGAGCATTCGACAATGCCCCATTCCACATTTCAGAGAAAGGAGGAGTGAGTGGAAGTGGCACATGGGATGAGGAGTCGTGCAAAGAGGTTGGTAAAGAAAGAGAACCACAGGGAGGAAAACCAGAGTGGCACGCAGTATGGAAAGGCACACCCGAGAATGGGATGGACAGTCCCTTTCTTTACTGAGGATGTTTTGAGTCCCTCTGCTCTGGGCCAGATGCTATGTGCAGAGCACAGATAGATGGATAAGTGTCAGAAGGTGTGAGAGGGGCTCAGTAATTACAACAGAATTAAAAATAATTATAGTATAAAGAGATCTGGGGATGCACACCTAAAGGGCACAACTAGGCTCTGGCAGGGGGGTTTTAGTCCAGAGGTTGGCAAACCTGTTCTGTAAAGGGCCTGATAATAAATATCTTATTATTTTTTTTTTTACTTTGCATATTTACTGATATAATTACAGCTCACACATACACAATTTGGGAACATTATTACGAGGATTATAATTTCTATCTGGGCCTCAGGCACCTCATATATTTTCAGATAAAACCGACTATCTCCAGGTTATTGGTAATGATAATAAGTATTTTAGACTTTGTAGGTCAAGAGGCAAAATCAAGCAACTCTTCTCACCAAAGGCTACTTTTTTTTTCTTTAACAGTTTTACATTTAAAAGTGTCATAACCCTTCTTAGCTCAGAGCCACACAACAAGGCCAGAGTCATAGTTTGTCGACCTGCTGTGGCCTGTGGTGTATATTTTGACCACCGTGTTGGGGGACAATCCACATATGGTTAATTGAAAATTGGTTCAGTATACAAAGGCATGTTTTACCAAAAAACAAAAACAAAACAAAACAAACAAAAACACTGCCCATGCCCTTGACGGACGAACAGCCCAACTGGCAAAACTCCTCCTTAGCAGAAAGGACAGGAAAGTGTTTCCGGGCCATAGTGGAAGCCTTGGCGGGGCAGTTTCCAAAGAAATTTGTGAATTTCTGAATTCTGCCGACCGTACACTCAAAAACGGCTAAGAAGCACCTACAGGCTTCACTCGGGTGGCTGTTGGGCCAATGCAGAGATTCCTGAGATGGTCAATCTCCTGAAGGCTGGGTGGAAGCTGGCAGAGCCCGCCCTGTCCCCTCTCGGTGGTGAGTCGCCGAGCTCCCGGTCTGTCCCTCACTGACACGTGCTCGAAGAAAGCAGGGCTTCACCACGACCCGCCTGACCTTTGCCTGTGTGCCCTGTTCTTCCCCAAGACTCGCTCTTGCCCCTTTCCTGTGATTTTTAGGCCGGCAAATTCTTTCACGAAGTTAGCTAAGGTCGACTGACCGTACACATGCCCGCATAACTGAGTCTACAGCCATTCATGGAAGATGTGTTCTGTATCTACTTTTTGCTTTCCCACCCCACCCCCCGCCACCCCGCCCCGTGAAAACCTCCTTTTTAACCTCAACATAAAATAGTTTTTAAAAACTGTCTGCAGATCGAATGAAAAGAGCAATATAATGTGATTTGAGCTCGGGAGTTCAGGCCCTGGAGTCAGGCTTCCTGGGTTTTAATTCAGTCCCACCACTTCCTAGCTGTGACACCTAAGCCAACTTACTGAAATGCTCTGTGCCTCGTGTGTGAAATGGGTGTAAAGGTAGATTTTATTTCAAAGGGTTATGGGAAGGATTAAATGAGATACGATGCCCATGAAGCGCTTGGCTCTCACCGAGTAAGGGTTCTTCCAGGCAGATAAGCAGGGAGGCTACCTTTGAAAGTGGAATATGTTTCCTTCTCAGGGATTCTAGCAGGTCTGAACACTTGCTTTGTGTTTGAGGCAAGGGTGAGTGTGTGGAGCCGTGGCCTCCTGCAGAACAGACTCGCTTGCTTCTTCCTTGCGCTCCATCCATTCAGTGGGCTGAGCTGCGCCTGTCACATCATTGCATTTGCTTGGGGTTCACGAGCAGGTGGGGTCAGCTCCATTAACCCCAGCAAACGGCAGTATTATGTGTCCACTAGCTTGGAGGAGTAATTAACCTGATTGGGTGAATTAATTCCAAGAGGTAAGTTTGTTGTTCTTTTTAAGAAACCAAATTAAAAATGCAGCAGCTAGTGACATAACAACTGTACCATCGTTTTTTTAGTTTCGGACACTAAGCACATACAAAAGCAAACATGAGTGTGGGATCCACTAAAAACAGAGCCCCTATCGGAACCAGGAGTCAGTTGCCAAGGAGCTATGCATGAGCACAAGGGGCCCCTTCCTCGGGGCTCCTCGGAGTCTCAGAAGACCCCCAGGATTTGAGTAACATACCAAAGTTTGCACAAGAAACCATGTTATATATTTAACATTTAAAAGGACCCGTTGTTCCTGAATACATCTCTGTTTTTTGTTTTACAGTTAGCTCTAGGAATTAAACAGCTAAATTAAACCCACCTAACTTCCTTCCTAATTGATTTTTTTTTTTTTAATCAGTTTTTTGGACCTAGACTGAGAGGTCCTTTCCATGTATGGACATTCTAGGAAATGTTTGAAATTTGGGATCCCATAAAGATCTTACCCACTGGTTTTTAGTTTCTCTCCTTTTTGACCTAAGGGATGATGGAACACTTGCTCTTTGCATCAGCCATGGAGGGCAGAGGAGGAAGGCCTGACCTTTGTCCTCTGGCTAATAGAGGCTATCGCAGAGAGCCAGGAGCATGTGAGCTAGAGGGTTACCACTCTGAACGGGGGCTGTCTCATGGCTTAGGCCCTTCCAGTTCTCCAAAGGTCAAGAGCCACTGCCTCTGATGATGTGGCCTAACTCTATGGGCCTCCCCTCCACACAGCCACTCTCCTGCAGTATTACCAGGACCTAAGGACGTCAAGAAATAGGAACATCATTTTAGGACATCGTTTAGTTCACTATGAGTCTGGCTGACAATAATACTAACTATGTCTATAATAATCGAGGCATGTATTCCGTGGACATGGTAATTTCTAAACTTTCTCCATGTCTGTCTCTCTTCCTTCTATCCCACCTCTGTGTTTCAAGTTTTCCTGTCTTGGTCTTCCTGCCTTTTATCTACTTCCTTCGTCTCTTGTCTTGTTCTCTTTTCCCTTTCCAGCATACCCTGGCTTGTCTGATTTTTCCTCATAATAATCTAGAACAATCACAAGATCCCAAAACTACAGGGCTCCCCACCCCAGTCCCCCAGCGTCCACACTACAGGAATTTACCCTCTTGACCCACCAGTTCCTCAGTGCCGTCTTGGAAAAGCACCATCTCAGAGTTTCCTTCCAAAATCAAAATCTGAAAAATGGCCTCTTGGCAGCCCTCTGATGAAACCTCTCCAAATAAGGACCCTTGGTTTTGCATGGGCTCACCAAGACTTGACGGGACTTTACAAATGATACACTTCCCTCAAACAGGCCTGTCTCTTTAGCTGGGCTCAAGTCAGGCTCCGTTCATTTTCTTTTGTGTCCCCATCTCATGCCACCTTCCCACCAAGAAAAGTCAGGTGGTTACAGAATCAGCCCCTGATGCTACATATTGGTCTGTGGGGTACAGATCATAGGCATGAAGTATTTATTTTCTTGGGGTTTAAAAAAAAGTTGCCCCTATTCCCTCTCTCATGAATGACTGTGAATGTAGCAAACTGACACAAAAAAATAGGTTGCCCTCTCCAAGGGGTTTTTTTTTCTTGTAGTCGTTTGTTTTATGGTCATGCTTTTGTGATGACGTTGCTGCAGCAATGAGTGAATCTGAATGTCTTGACTATCTTGTCCATAGGTGAATGTCCTATACTCCATAATTCCCAGCCAGTAAGCCAGCTTCCTTCCTTGAGACCTGAACATCATCACTACCCAACAATCGATGAGCCTCTTCCACCAAGTAAGCTTTAGATTTTAAAGCCTATGCCTTAATTCTTCCTATCAAGTCTAAACAGGTCAGTATGAACTTGTATGTACACATCCAAACTCTTCCCCAACTCCATACCTTACACTGTTATAAAAAAAATTATATATATATATATGTATATGGCACCTACTATAAAAATGGGGTGTTTTTGACTAGTGATTTCAGTATGTGATCTTGAAGAGATAGTCCAGTAACCTTCCACTGCCCCTCAACTTCTGAAACAGAGAGTATTTCTTTACAAGACTTGACTACCTTGCAAACTGTACATGACCTTTAAGTCCTAAATTTTACTATTTTATATTTAGGAGTTCATAGGTCAAGATGGAATAATCCTGTTGTTCTCCATTGGACCTGTTATATCGCAGGCACCTCTGTATAATAAAACATTCAACCCATCAGGACGCAAGGACTTGCACTTTCCTTGCTATAACTTCCATTAACAGGTGACAGCCTATTTCTTCTGTAGTTCTTAGGAGCTTCCAGAAAAAAAATACCATCCTTAAGGGATGTTATTCCATATCATTTTCTCCTGGTAACTGTGTAAATAATTATTATTTAACTAGTCATTTGAACTTGGGAAAATCATTTAATATCTCAGTTTTCTTATTTGTAAAGTAAAGCCTTAATTTTCTCATTAGCTAAATGGCTAGATCTGGACTAGGTAATCCCTGGATCTCATTCCAGTCTTAACCTTATAATACTACATTATAATACATTTCTAAGAAGGAGCTGATACCCTGGATGTTATACATTCACTTAGCATCATATATGTTCATGAATAATTCTAGAACATCTCTGTTTTGGCTTAGGCTTATTTTTCAAGCAAAGATAACCTTTAAGATTTAATAAATTTTACAACTGCAAAATCTTACCAGGATGCAAGGAATCGATGTTTCTTTACGTTCCTTTGCCTGTGCTTACATTAGGAGGTTACAGTTAAAAAAAAAAACAAAAACAAAAACTTATTCCCTAATTCATCTACTCTTGGTAATGTGATATATTTTGCATTTACACCATTCTTCTCCTATTCAGTTGTAATTTATCAGTGAGAAAACAATAAATACCTTTAATATGTAAACATTTGAAACAACACCATATTTGTTTTGGGGGATCAAGGCAAACATTATGTCCTTTAACTTTTGATACCTGACTTCTTTCTTTATTTATACACTGATTTACGGAGGGTCCACAAATGACTAGTAAAATTTCAGTGTCACTATACTTTCTACTTAGCACTTATGTAAAAAGTGTCTATAACACGTTCTCTCCAGGAAAGGAACACTTTCCCCACAACAAGAAAACCTATCAATTCCTGTGTGCATGAATTGACTTCCAGTCCATGCAAGAGCAATAACTAGTTATGCATCCAGACCTTGTAAAGAACTGAATATAAGTCTATTTTAAGGACTTTATATAAGCTGTTTTCAATAACGAAAACAAATCTCTCCAATTGGGTTTCAATTCTCTGTTCTTTCAACCCTGAAAAATATGACAAAAGTTGGTAGTGAAGCCTAACAACAGAATCTTCTTGATAGTCATTCATTCAACAAATACTCATTGAATGCTGGCTCTGTGAAGCCCTGTTTTAGGTAAACAAAACAGACAAAGATCCCAGCCCTCACGGAGCATACAGTGTAGCCAGGCAGAGACCAACACCTAATAAAAAGAGTGAACCAGGCACTAGCGGAACACTTTAGGTGGCAGGAAGTGCTGGGCGGAAGAACAGGCAGAGTAGGGCCAGGGGGACTTGCGGGATGTGGTGACGGCTGGTTCACCATTTTAAATCGGGTGGTCAGGTAAGCTTCAATGAGAGGCAACATTTGAAGCTAGGCTTCGAGGCGGTAAGAGGGTTATTCATGGGGAGGAAGAGCTTTTTGAGAAAAGAGAACGGCCTGCCTGGTGGGTTGGAGGAACAGCCGGGAGACCAGTATGTCTGGAGCAGGGAGACAGCGGTGGCTGGTAAGGTCAGAGAGATACCAGGGACCCAGATCACACAGGGCCCTGTAGACCGCTTAAGAGCTTCGACTCCGCCTCTGGATGAAAGGGGAGCATTTTAGGTTTGGAGCAGAGAAATGACATTCTCTGACTTAGGTTTTGATGGTAAGAAGTGCAGTGCGGAAGCACAGGCATGAAATTTGCCCTGTTGCTCTGTTGGCATTAAATCTTGAGGAGGAAGGACAGAAACATGAAACCCAACATATGGTTATTGCCGTGGCCCAGGTGAGAGGCAGCGGTGGCCAGGGCCGGGGTGGGAGCGGCGGAGGTGGTGAGGGGCGGTCGCATTCCAGACATACATTCCATACGCAGGTTTGCTGACAGATTAGATGTGATGTCTGAGACAGAGGTAGGAATCAAGAATGATCTCAAGAATTTTAACCTCCGGAAGGATGGAGTTGCCTTCAACGGGGATGGGAAGGGAAGGCTGCAGAGAGAGCTCGCTGGGGTGGGAAAGACCTGAAGCTTGATTCTGACCACGTTATGGTGGAGATGTCATCTAGGTAGTGACGTCAAGAAGGCAACAGGGTGTGTGGCTGAAGTTCAAGAGAAAGGTCTAGACTACAAACATGGTATTGCACTTGTTAAAGTAAAAAGAGAAAAGGGGGAATAATTTTACAGGCTTTTGTTAGTATAATAACTAAAGATGATACATTGTTGGGCTCTACAGTGTTCCTAGACTTCATGGAAAAGATACAGTTTTGTATTTGCTAGGTCTCTCAGTCACAGATGAATTACCCTGACTTACCCCAGCATCATAAAGGTGATCACTGGCAAGAATCTGTCTAGGCAACACCGTGCCATATCCATCAGGACATGCTGAGGCCTGAAGTTCTATTTGGAAATTCTTTCTTTACACAATATGTGAAAGTGAATTCTTTACAGCGCAACCCTGAAAACACGCTTATAATCTCGGAGTACACTTAGCTATGACTTTCTGAATACTGATAAGAATTTAGCATTATGCATTTATAATTAGCACTATTAGATATTTAATAATATTGATAGAAGGGCCTGTCTGGCTGGCTTGCCATCCTTTTCCATGAGAGACTTGGAAATATGGAAACTTGTAGAGAAATTGTTATTGCCACTGCACTGCACCGTTCTCTAGTGTTTTCCTTGGAGAATTTATGAGACTGGAGCTGTGTCTTTCTTTGAAGGAGTCCTTCTTTCACTGTGGGAACCTGGAGGGTGGGGGCATCAGTTTCTCAGCGGTGTGCCCATGGGACCAGGCATAGTTTTTTGTTCATAGGGAGTGCTGAGAAGAGTTTGTTCAACTGAACTAGATACCACAACACTCTTCAAAGATTAATGTTCATTCTTTGTTGAATGACAGTCATGTTGAGTTCAAGGAAAAAAAAATTGTCCAGTTTCTCCTAGTTGGGGAATCACTGAAATTTCAAAATTTTTGGACCAAGATTAATTACCTAGTAGTTACACGTATGCACAGTTTCATCAGTGAGCTATTTAACAGTTACAACTAACAGTTGAGCTGGATTATCTAGCCTTCAATTTTCATTAACACCCTCTAGAACATATTTATACAATCTGACAACATTTTTCCTTCAGTTTGTCTTAGGCAAGGTAGATTTGGTGTGTTCTGGTATTTTGGTTTCCATCATGCATTATTTGACAATTCCTCAGGTAAATATCGGTCTTCAGCCATGATCTTCACAAACAGATGCACCATGCACACATAAAACCACAAATATACCAAATATACTGAGTTTTTTTTCCGTTTAAAAAAATTGAGAGTTGCTATGTCATTACCTGAATGATAATTTTTCAATAGAATTATGAATATCTGACCTACTCCCAAAAGCTATGGATTTTCTTAAAAGGCTGAATAGTTTTCCTCCATTTGCAGTCATTTTTGCTTTTTCTTCTGTAGTCTAATGCATTTTTCAGCATAACTTGATCATGAAGCTGTTATTTCTACCAAGGTTTCACATTTGGACTCTAAAAGCTTTGCCCATTGCTATACAGCAGACATTGCTCTTCCGTGTGAAGCTCAGATATTTGTGTATCACATCCAGCTCTCCCAGTTTTGAGGACTTTTCCACCCACCCCACCCCTCCATGTATTATGTAGTATATCATCCATGCTCCCACGTTTAGTTCCTTGGTTTTGGAATCTGAGAAGTAAAGGAACTTATCTTTGTCTTGAGCTCCCTCTACTGGTTTGTGATGGTTATCTATCAACACAGAGGTATTTAAAGCTTGATGTGTGTTAATTAGTTGATACTTAAAGGCTTGATGCGTGTTAACAGTTGTTACTGGTTTTGTTTTGTTTTGTCAAGAGATATTTGGCAGCCACAGGTGGGTAGAAAATACACTGTGAACTTACAACTTACCCAAAGGATGGTTTGAAGGGACCCAATCCCTTCCTCAAGAAGAATGGCAATCAATTAAAGTTGCAAAGTATTGCATAGAGGTCACCTGAAGTTCCAGCTACAGTATCTTAGAACTGTCATTACAAGTGGTTTTAATGTGAGGGCCATCCTCCCCTCACCGACTAGTCGCTGTCTCTCAGATTTAGCAAAGAAAGGGTTCTCCGGCCTCAGTCTGTCAGTTCTCCCTGGAGGCTGCTTAAGTCTTCCAGCTGTAATTTGAGTCGCCAACAAGACTGACAGGGTGGAAATTGTTAAAGGAAGAAATAAACATCAGACTTTCTCCTTAGAAAATAGGAGAATTGTAACCTAGGTCATATTCGAGGAACCACAGTTACTGTTTAAGAGAAGCTGAGTCCAGTGGATGCCAATTCAGTCCTAGTACCTCAGAAGTCATGGCGGGAGCTGTGGGCAGCGTCTGGCCTTCAGCAAGGAACCCACAGTGAGTTCTACCTGCAGAAGACCTGACAGTGGTATCGGTTTCCCATGAATCCGTAGTTTGTCCTTGATTTTCCTTTTTGCCTTTTTATTACACACCAGACTGGGAAGCTCGCATTGACAGCCACGGGCGAGTCTTTTACGTGGACCATGTGAACCGCACAACCACCTGGCAGTGTCCGACATCAGCAGCTACCCCTGACGGGATGCGGAGGTCGGGGTCCGTCCAGCAGATGGAGCAACTCAACAGGCGGTGGGTGATCAGCATGCAGTGAACCCCTGGGAACCCCTGGGAAAGGAGCATGGCAGCCAGAGAAACCCCCTTACACTTTTCTGCTCAGATTGTATGAGGAGACTGGGAAGTGATAATGTATCTTAAGAAACCCATTTATAGTAGGTACTTGGAAAGCTAGCGTTAGAATTTGGTGGCAGGAGACAAACTAAGCCTGAGTGTCATTTAAAGATGGAGAATCCTCTGAGCTTCTTGCTGGCATGTGCTCAAAGACAGGTGTTCTTAACCAGGGGCCCCTGGACCACCCTCCTCCCCAGGTATTCACCGAGGATGCCATTGTTCCAGGAACTCTCCAGAAATTGTATGCAAAATTATACATGGATGCACATTTTTCTGTCAGACTGGTCCATATCAGTCATGAGATTCTCAAAAGGGCCCAGAACTCAAACAGCTGAAAACATTCCAAAGATGGGTTCCATAAAGAATACTAGAAGCTGCCTAGAGGAAAAAAAAAAAAAAAACAGTGTCATCACTGTATTCATGTCTACCCTGGTCCCCTAATTGCTATATACTCAGTAATTCCTAAAAGGCTTTCATCCTAGGGAAAAAAATGTTTAAAAACAGTTTTTGAGACTTGTTTTGTCTAAAAACTAGACCCTTATTAGTGAAATTGTAAAGATGCCATTTTGTTTTTAACCCGCAAATGAGACCCTAAATAGCATTTCTCTCATGCTGTAAGCTAGCATGAGCATCATACCCGACCTCTTGCTTCTTTAAGGCCAAGATGGCAGCTTTGGGATACTTTTAGTAGCCGGGACCACAAACTGCAGGCTTGAAATCAGCTGTATCTACATGCCATCTCATTAGGATGAAATAAAGGAAAAGGTGAAAGGAACTATACAGAATAAGGAGCTGGAAGTTAACTGTATCAGCCAGAAAAATAAAGCGGACAATTTAGTCCTATGAAAAATACACAGAGGTGAAAAATTGAGCTTCCGTTTACTGTTGTACACAGAGGAGCCTGCTTAGGTGAAAATCACCAGGATTCTTTTATTGCTTGAGCATTTGGAAGACATTCACTTTCCATTCCTTCTCCATCAGTAGCCGAGCGTTTAAAGTCATTAATGAGAACCATGAAGGATTTTCACTGGCAGTACATTTCTCTACAGTCATTCCCACAGAAAGAAAACACATTACAGAACTTGTGATAACCCAGCTTTATTAGATAAGAATGCACCAAAAATCCCTGGGAGAGCCCTTTCATGGTGATTGCAACAAAACTCCGGTAAATAAAAATGTGGAGGACTCAGCAAGCTCATTTTACATAGAGACCAGACTGAGATTTCATAGGCAGAAACAGACAGAACAGAGAGGCTGAACTTGTTTAGCAGGCTGAGAAATAGGGAGAGTGTCACCACGCTGTATCTATGGGAGGTACAGTTCAAGCACTAAAAGAAAACAATGGGGGCGCCTGGGTGGCTCAGTTGTTAAGCGTCTGCCTTCAGCTCGGGTCGTGATCCCAGGATCCTGGGATCGAGCCCCGCATCAGGCTCCCTGCTCGGCGGGAAGCCTGCTTCTCCCTCTCCCACTCCTCCTGCTGGTGTTCCCTCTCTCGCTGTGTCTCTCTCTGTCAAATAAAGAAATAAAATCTTAAAAAAAAAAAATGCATTGAAGCAGAAGTAAGCACCTTGACCTAGGACACAAAAATCCATGAAGGTTCATCATGTTCAGGTTGTATAACATAAAAATTAGGCCAAATCCATCCTGAATCAGGCCTCTAGAGAAGTTTTGCAGGCTTTCATGTGTAAATTCCTGTGCCCTCCTGTGGAGCTGCACACACTGGCAGAGGCAGCCAGACTTTGTAGAACAGGAAGTGGTATTTGCTGCACCCGTCTGGACAGATAAAAAGAAAAGGAATTTGGCGACTTGAGAAAGTACTTATTTCTTGTGAAAAAAAACCTACCTAGGGAAGGCCAGATAACCTTGAGATAAGTATCCCGGCTCTTCAGCACTTAACCAAATAGTTCAAGCAGGCAAAGTTTTGCAGTGACTTGGCCTGATAAGGCAGCCACAGAAAAGTATACTGCCTGTCTTTTCTCCCGCACGGATGTGATCACTCACGGGGGGTCGTTTTTCGATAACCTTCGGTTGGTTATCAGAAGGAATTTACAGCAATCACTCTCTCACAGCAAAACAAATTATTTCTCAGTGTTGCAAGGTGTAGGGAAGGAAAACCTTCTTTCTTCCTTTCTAAGTTCTTTAGCTGACTTAACAATTAAATTGACATACGTAAGATTAACAGGAGAAAAGCAAATTTAATTCTGTATGTATGGAAGCTCACAGAAATATGAGACTCGAAGAAATGACCAAAAGCAGGCAGCTTTTATACCTTTCAGACAAAGAAACATTTGTGTGTGTGTGTGTGTGTGTGTGTGTGTGTGTGTGTGTGTGTGTGAAGAATTGACAAGACAAACAAGTTTGGGCTTGGGGTAGTAAATTAGTGAAGAGGAACAAGGTTTGTTCACACAGCCTTCTTGACCCTGATTCCCTATGCCTGGTGATAAGGATGACTACCAGCCTCCAGGTGCAGAAAGAGTACCCTTCACATGGGGAATTCATCTCCTGCCTTCCGGAGAACAGAGGAGGGTCAGAGTGTCCTGCACTGGTTGTTTCTTAAGTGACTTTAATTCAAAATAATCAAAATGCCAAAATGGCATATTTTGGGGTGGCCTGCCCTGGACCCCATCAGAGGAGTTTCCCTGGACTCCCGACAGCATGATTATGAAAGTCAAGTGTTGTTTGTGCGAGGAGACGCACACTGGGAGAAGCAGAGTGCACAAAGCAGCCTATGGTGACCACATTCAAACTCGACCACTGCCCGAAGGCAGCACCCCCTTCCTGGCCTTTATGGCTTGACCACGTGCTCCTAGTGCAGAGACGCCCCTCACTGCCTGCCGGCCACGTGGTCACATCTCCTTTCTGCTAAGCCCATGAGAATGTCCTGTGGTCCCTGAAATCCTCCCAGAACCCTCCACACAGAGCCGGTGGTTGCCCCTTGTGCAATCCTGTGATTGAAACCTTCTGCCTTGTCCTTCTGGGTACCCTTCCCAGTGCCTGGTGTGGTGCCAGAGTCCAACAGGACTCAGTGTAAGACAGTTTCTCTAGTTAATCCTTACACTTCCAGAATATTCTGAATTAACTCAATTTACCTTCACAGGTATTTATTGAACAAGCGGAAAATATAAATATGTATTCTCACTTTAAATAATCAACTAAAGTTTGGTGTTTGTAGTTATTTGGATAAAATGTTTATGTTATTGAGACATGGGAAGTTTGAAATATGAGAGAAAAAAACGATGTATCTATAATTGTACTACCCCAGGGTTTACCTTTTCTTTTAAAAAAATCTTGTCTCTAATTTCCATGTACATGTGTAGGCCTTGCATAGCTGTGATGATAATATAGTTAGTTTTATATTCTCTCCTCACTTACCATGCTATAAGCATTTTCATATTGCTACAGAGCCTTTGAGTATCACTTAAATGGCTGTATAGTATTCCAAGGAACGGATGTACTTTAGTTAGTTTGCCCTATTGCTGGATGTTTTCCTTATTGCTTTCCATCACTATTTTGAATAAGGCTAAAGGCCCTGTTAAATATTAGTGTTGTCTCATAGTAGTGTTTCCTTGGGGTTATATTCTCCAAAGAGCAGTCCACGGGAGATCACTATGGTTTTGGCATTTGGTATCTATGCCTAATGTTTTCTAAAGTGTTTCTGGGGACTCGCTCTACCAGCAACAACAGCTTCCCTTCCATCCCATTTTTTGGTGTGGTTTTGTTGACTTAAGAGGTGCTCCTTGGTATTTTGGTTCTTATATTTCACTTCTTACAGGGAGCGTCAACTTTTGTCTCCATAAGCTTTTCTTTTACCAATTGTAGCTCCTCCCACAAGAATTGTATGGTCTTGGGCTTTGTTTGGTTGGTATTTGTTTGGGTTGGCTCCATTGTGGAAGGTTATTTTCTTGCTGGGTTTTGTGTGTCCCCGTGTGTGTGTGTATTCATTTATAAATTAGATATTCCAGCTGACTTTCTTACCAATTTCCATAAACTCTTTATATAATATAAAATTTGGCCTTTTTCTGAAAAAAAATGAAGGAGGACATGGAAGGATAATTCTTGATGAAATGTGAGAGAACCTGCTTTCTGACTTCCTCTCTCGTCTTTAGAACAGAGCGAGCATGAGGCTGCGATCCTGCCCTCGCTGAGTGATCCCTCCACAAACCGTGTGTCCTGTTTCCCCAAAACTGTCACTGCACTTCAGCAAAGATCAGGGTTGGGGTGTGGTACCTGGGATTTGAGGCCATTGACTCAGTTAAGGCACAAGACAACCAAAGTCCAACTGAGGACACAGCAGGTTGTGAAATTACTGACATTTTCATCATCAGATAAGATCACATTGATTCAGAGAAATTCTCTTCTGTGGTCCCTGCACTTTGGGAAGGAGAAGTGAGGCTACAACTTTGTATTTGTCTGTGCCCTGTTCTGGGTCTCTACTGCGGAGTAACAAACCACCCAAACTTGGTGGCAAAAAACAATGATAATTTATTGCTACCGTCATTGTTATTACATATCATTTTTATTTCTCATGGTTCTCGAGGCTGACTGGGTGCAGTGAAAACATTCTCTCTTGGGGTCCTGTCGTGTGGTTGCAGAGGGTGGCTGGGGCTGGTGACCCACATATCTGGAGGTTGATGCTGGCTGTGACTGTCAGCCAAAACACCTGCCCGTGGACTTCCCATGTGGCCTCACAGCATGGCCACTGCAAACTGTCACTTATATTATCCTCAATTAGTCAAGGTAGCCACAAGATCTTCCCAGGTTCAAGGGGAGGGGACATTGATTCTACCTCTTAATAGATGAGTAATTAGGTTCTAACAGAGCATGCGGGACTAAAAATATTGTTGAGCCATTTTTGGAAGACACAGCCTGCCATGAGTCATTTAGGGGATCCTCCCGACAGCAGCAACCTTAGTCTTTGGCAATTCCATTCCTCCCCCGGTCAAGGTTACACACTTAGGCAGCTTCTCACTGGCCCACTCTGTCCTTCCCACTGTGGTGGCACTCCCTGAGTTCCAACAGGGAGAACAGGAGACAGCCATCCTTCACCTTCCCCACAACCTCCAGACCACAGACATGTTGACATGGTAAATAAACATGTGTATTTCTCTATATTGATCCTTTGCCCTTCCTGCCCCCTCCATGTTTTCTTATTAGAGGCCTTCTCCGGAATGCCTCACAGTAACTGCTGCAGGCAAAGGTGTCTCCTGACACATGTCAGGGGTGAGTGGCTGAGCCTCTCTAGAGAAAATATGCCTTAAAGCAACCAGTGATTCTTAAACCTAGATGGAAGTAATGCTACCTGAAGGACTTCTTAGAAATGCAGGTTTCCATGTTGCTTCAGTTTCTGTGATTATAACAGTAACCCAGCTGATTCTCTTGCAAGTGGTCTAGAGACCACACTTGAGGGAAAACAAACAAACAAACAAACAAAAAACATCCTTTTTAAGGTACAGAGAAAGGCTTGTCTGTAGCGATATGTCCCCATTGCCCCCAGGTTGGACTGCGTTTGGAGACCTGGTTATTTGCTGCTCCTCTTCCTTCACCCCCGTATCTCTTTCCGGGCCACGGGACTCGTACAGCAACGTTCCTTTGCCTGTTGTCACTTGCATGAAATCAACGACCTCCAAGTCAGCCTGTCCTGATCCACACCAGAATCTTCCCTCCCCTCCTGCCTGCTCGCCTACGCGTCCTTTTTCAGCGTGGGCTCCTTCACTTACCCTTCACGGTTGTCTCCTCCTTTTTCAACCTCCACATCCAGACAGGCCCCGAGTCCTGCTGAGTCTCCATGTAAAATTCCACAAATTCTGCCGCGCAGTCTCTCCGGAATTCAGCTCCTTCTCCCGTTCCTGCTGTGCCTCGAGGCAAAGGGAAGCTGAAGCCTGGTCATATGCCTCAGTAGGCTGAGACGTTAGGCAAAACAGAGGCATGTGGGGAGGAGAAGGAGGCTACTTGGACTGAGGGAAATAGAGCAAAGAGGAAGGACACAGCTGGGCATCTGCCTTTAAAATACAGAGTGAATCAGGCAGAGCGGGCCATCAGAGGCAGGGAGGTTTAGGAAGTGTCTGTCTTTCGTGGGCAGAGACAGAAGCTCTTACTCTCCCTGCAGTGTTCCCCTCCCCCAGCGGCATTCTTGCAGAGCCACCATGATCCACCATGTCTGCCTGTGTCCAGGCCTTTAGCACCTGCAGCCCGGACTGTTGCGGTGGCTGGTTCCCACCTGCTCTCCCCAATTCACGCTCTCCTCCTCCAGTGCATGCCCCACCTTGATGGAAGTCATCATTCTCAGTGGCTAGCTCAACCTCTTTTTCAGCAACTAGCCAGTCCCTAGAGCGGTGGTTCTCAAAGTTGGTCCCTGGACCAGCAGCATCAACATCACCTGGGAACAAGTTAGAAATGCAGATTCTTGCCTCCTTCCTCCAAAGACCTACTGAATCCGAGAAATTCTGGGAGTGAGGCCCCGCCGTCTCTGTTTCAACAAGGCTGTAGGTGATTCTGCTGCAGCTCAAGTTGGAGAACCCATGCCTAGAGAATAACATCCGAACTGGGGCCTGTCAGCGCTCCCTGCCTCCCCCTCTGCTGGCCCCCTCGCGCTGCCCGAGGCCCACACATGCTGGTGCCACTACGCAGCTTCTCAAAAGTCCCCAAGAGTGAACTCTTCTGTGCATGTTACTCTACATTCTTTCCCTGCAAGGTCCCCAACAGGTTCATACTGATTCAAAATGTGTGCATCTAGGTGTTTCCTCGTCTGTGTCTTATGCTTCAGGACAGCTTTTTGACATTGTTAGGGTCACGGCTTACATGCCATTTCCCTCTGCTCTGCATCCACTGTGTGTGTTCAGAGGCTGATATTCTATCCTCCTGACTCTGATCTGAAAGTCCGGCACAGAACTTGGGCATACTGGAAGAGTTAGTAAATATTGTAAGTACCTGGGAAGGTGCCTGACTGGCTGAATCCTCAACTGGGTAGGAAAAATAAAATGAGCCTTCAAATCAGCAGAAAACATTTGTTTGTCAGCCAACGTGCTTTTAGTATGCAGTATTTCCACAGTTCCTGCCAGGGATATCAGTTACCTGTCAGATAACAAGAAGTGAGTAGAACTATTACTCTGGTTTGTAGACTCATTACAATAATGTAGAAGTAATTCGATATCTTAGCTGTAACATTTTAAGTTATTTCCCAAACTGTTATTTTAGACTTAGTCTGGTTTTGCTTAATGCAGGGCAGAGGCTGTTTTTTTGTGACTAGTTATCTGCGTTAATGTGTAAAAGTCACCATACTTGAAACTTAGCACAGTTTACAGAACAAAAAGAAGTCCACTCATCCGGACACGCGTGTCTTGCCAACTGTTTCGGTACCTTGTGGGAACTTTAAGCATTTCTTTGCTGATATGCAAGACAATTCTTTACAGATTTCTCCAGTTAGCCGATTCAGAGCATCAGCCCCCAACAAGTCAATAAGCAGAAGTTAACTCCTATCTTTCCATTTTCTGATGCAAAGGTATCAAAATATTCAGCGAACCATTGCAACAGAGAGGCCCGAAGAAGATTCCGGCAGCCAAAGTGGTGAGCAGATCCCGGCAGGAGGAAGCGGAGGAGGTGGTGGGAGCGACTCAGAGGCCGAATCTTCTCAGTCGAGCTTAGGTATGGGAGGGAGGGACTGGAGCCTTCTGGGATGGCATCTGGTGGCAGTGTGACATAGTGTGTGAACCCCCGCCCTGCCTTGCGGGATGCCCTGGGTCCTGGGGGAGAAGAGCAATGGAATGGGGCAGGTCAGTCAGGGTGGCCGGGAAAGAGGCTTGGTGCCGGCAAGGTGAAACAGACAGGAGTTTCCCACCACAAACATAAAGAAGAAATGAATTTGCAGTAGGAGAACTCATCCTGGTGCATCGAGGCAATTTCTTCAGTGGCCTAATCATTTCTTGTGGAGTGAATTTATCTGTTGGTGTCCTAAGAATTTTCCACTTATAAATAAAACATGCAATGAAAATTCACAGGCTACTTCAAAGAAGCTACGTGACAAGATTAGGAATAATTATTTGTTTGCATTTGGAATAAAATACAATTCCCCCTTGCGGGAGCAACCTGGCAGTAAAGAGGTTTTTCCCCTGAGCTTACCTTACGCACTCTGCCCCTGAGCCTGGTTACCTAATAGTGTAGGCCAGGCATCTGCCAGGGGTCTGCTTTTCATTTCTTTGAAGCTGCCTGAGTGGAACTCAGACAAGAATATTCAAAAGGTGGAGAAGACTGGCTTCAGCTTTTTATACCTGTGATCACCTAAGGTTATCAGAGTGATATCCCAATCCACCTTCTCTCTCTCTCTCTCTTTTTTAAGATTTTATTTATTTATTTGACAGAGAGACACAGCGAGAGAGGGAGCACAAGCAGGGGGAGCGGGAGAGGGAGAAGCCGGCTTTCTGCTCACGCATGCGTCCTTAATCAGCTACCCAGCCAGCGGCGGGCTGGCCGGCCTGACGTGGCCTCAGCTGGGCTGGCTTGTGCCTGCTTGCCGTAGCTTCTCATCTTGTCCCAGACTAGCCCAAGCTTGTTCTCACAGTGGTGGCAGGGTTCTAAGAGAGAGTGAGGACACAAAGACTTCTTGAAACCCTGGCGTACAAGTTCTGCCAAGTCCTGTTGCTTAAAGCAAGGCACAGGCTATCTCAATTCAACAAGGGGAGAAGTACGGAGTCTCCTGCAGATGGGTGTGGATGCAGGGAGGGGAAGAATTGTGCTTCTCTCTGCAAACAACCATAACTATGCTTGGCAACTCATAAGGAAAATAAGAAAACCGTCATTGTAATAAAAGAGACAAGATGTTCCTCTGAAACAAATAATACATTATATGTTAAAAAAAAAAAAAAAAGAAAGAAAGAAAGAAGATAGTAGGAAGGGAAAAATGAAGGGGGAGGAAATCGGAGGGGGAGACGAACCATGAGAGACTGTGGACTCTGAAAAACAAACTGAGGGTTCTAGAGGGGAGGGGGTTGGGGGAATGGGTTAGCCTGGTGATGGGTATTAAAGAGGGCACGTTCTGCATGGAGCACTGGGTGTTATGCGCAAACAATGAATCATGGAACACTGCATCAAAAACTAATGATGTAATGTACAGTGATTAACATAACATAATAAAATTTTTAAAAAGTAAAAAAAAAAAAAGAAAACCTCAGGAAGGAACTACTAACTACATCACTTCCCCCAGAAATTTCTAGTGTACATTATTATAGGTTTTGAGAAGTCCTGGAATAAAGTAATGTTTCACTTTAAAAAAAAAAAAAGATGTTCGAGGACTTGAGCCTAACTGAAGTTACGCAGGAGCACTCCTAGGAAATAATGACTCTTAACTGGCACGCATCACTGTGACACCCGATCAAATCACCAGTCAGAACCACAGTCTGTCCAGTCAAAGCTAACACACTGCTGGTATAGAGAGAGTACTACTGTATTTGAAATGACTTTTTCCCGATGCATCCGTTGCTTTGCTTCACTTTTTCCAGATCTGAGGAGAGAAGGGTCACTTTCTCCCGTGAATTCACAAAAAATCACCTTGTTGCTGCAGTCCCCAGCGGTGAAGTTCATCACCAACCCGGAGTTCTTCACTGTACTACACGCCAATTACGTGAGTGCTCCAGAATACAGAGGGAGCCCACCTGGCTTCCGTCAAAACTCAAAATACTCCTTTGCGAACTTGTTCAGTAGGTTAAAAAGGATGGCGTTTTAACCTAAGCAGGATCGAAAAAACCAAAAACAAAACCACTGGGTCCACTCTTTTTACTCTCCGTGGGTCTCCCAAAAAGGAGAAAAGCTGGATTTGGCAACACTGTTGCTTCTTTGTTTTTGTTAGGCTCAAATGTATTAATACCAGGGAAAGTCGTTTGGAAACAGATACGAGTTTCTATTATTGTTAAAATTTTAAAGGAACAAGATTATGAAGTTGACAGATGCCCCTCAGCCTGAATCATTTTATAAAATCACTTTCGTTAAAGAAGGGTTAAAATAGATTTCTCCTAGATAAATATCTAGTTTTCCCTTTAATAAAATTAGTTGTTCAAGTACCATGCTTAAGTTAAATTTAATATTTTTACATATATAGTTTTTATTTCTTTTTTTTATTTTTAAGAAAGCAACGACATGCTATCACTATATTCATTAATTCTTTCATTTGACAAACATTTTCTGTGGACAGATGCAGATTTAGGTGCTTGCATCACAGAGCCAGTGGGATACCTGAACAGCACGAGCTCCCCAATTTGTGGAGTGACAGACATGTACAAAGACCAGTCTGACGTGACGGGACAGGGCCCAACCTCAGGGAGGAATAAAATGCTCTGGAAACACAGGAGATACAGCATAGGGGAGCATCCCGAAGGAGGTGGCTGCTGAACTGAGTCAGGAAGGTTGCAAGTGGGTGAGAAGCTCCAGAGGGAGGGAGAAAGGACGCAGCGGTGAAGGGGCTGGGGGTTGGGTCTGTGAGGGTGGGATGTGATGACAGGCAGAGGTGGGAAGAAGGCCTGGAGAAAAAGTGGCAAAACTCAGGGTAAGTCCTGAGAAGGAGCCTAGGTATACTTCGGAAGGCAGCGGGAACCAAGAGAAGTCCTAGGCATTTGTGTTACAGGATCAGGTGTTTGATTAAACATCTTCTCCATTAGAAGTACAAAGACTGAGGGGCTACAAGGCTAGAGGCTGATCCAGCCTCACAAGTGAGAGACGATCGGGGCCCACCTAAGGCAGGGGCTGGGAGTATGGTAAGGGGGACCATTGTGATGGAGGCAGGCAAGGTGAGGACTCAAGAAAGTCTGAGTCCTTTCCGCTTTGGGCACCTGAGTTAGGGCATGTCTCCATTAGCAGGTGCAATGATTTGATAGGTGACAGAGGCTGTGGCTGGGGGGAGACCAGTTTTTAGCAGGTGATATTTGAGAAGCTTCTGGGACATCCATTGTTAGACCCAGAGCAGTGGCCCACTGGTGCAGGGGTGAGTCACAGAGGGGGGCAAGGATGCCAGATGTTGATGCCCTCAAACACCGGGCGCCAGGTGGCCCTGGCCAGGAAGAGACACTGCACCGGCCTGCTCTGGTAGCAAGCAGTGTTTGCTTTTACCACCTGCACACCAGCCCTGTGGACCAAAAAAATCATCATTTGGCACACTTAGAAACTCCTGAAACTTTTTCCTTTCTTCTCATCTCCAACCCCTCCACACACAAAAGTTTGTGACAGACCTCTGAAGTCTGGCCTTAAATCCCCAGGGACCCTAAATTAATCCGCCTTGGTGCAGGCAGAGAAAGAAGGGTGGAGAAGATAGAGGAGCAATGCTCCCAGTAATGGAGACTCAAGAGAGCCCAGCCTAGCGCTGACTGGGGAGGAGGGGAGGGAGAGCCTTTGAGATGCACACGGAGGGTGATAGTATCCACGGCTGAGGAAATACCAGTACAGATCAAACAGATCATGTGTGTTTACAGTGCACATTTAATTTTTGAGCAAGAGCTTCCCATCTGAGGCTTCCCCCTCAATGCTCACAATAAATGACTGTGTTAGCAATCAGGTTACATTACGTTAAGGTGCTCAAGGTGTACTTAGTATGTATTTTTCCTACCCCCCACCCCAACACCCTATCCCAATCGGCCCTGACCCCCTCTCAGGGTGCCTACCGAGTCTTCACCAGTAGCACCTGCTTAAAGCACATGATTCTGAAAGTCCGGCGGGACGCCCGCAATTTCGAGCGCTACCAGCACAACCGCGACTTGGTGAATTTCATCAACATGTTTGCAGACACGAGGCTGGAATTGCCCCGGGGCTGGGAGATCAAAACGGACCAGCAGGGAAAGGTGAGTGTGACTGACCTGTGGGCCTTTCATCAAACGGGCTCTTTATCTGAAGAAGACCCATGAGAAAGTGAGGGGGGAGATTAGTGAGGACAGGAAAGTCTGTGTCTCAGAGATGGGCCATCAGCCACCAGGAGGAAGAGGGGGGTAACTATTCACAGCAGGGTTTCCATCCTGTGAAGGATGTACAGCAACATCCCTGGCCTCTCGCCCGCTGATACCAAGAGCATCCACACCAACTTGGGATATTGCTAGATATCCCCTGGAGGGCAAAATCATGCCCAGTTGAGAACTACTGCCTACATGTTTGGAAATTGAAACCAGAGTCTGTTCAATGACCTTTCTATTGTTATGCCTCCTTAGAAAGCTGACTCGCAGGGAATGAAATTATTAGTTAAGTGGGAATGACATTATTAGATTACTGGTTGTGATTTTCCTAATAAGCTTTCAGTTTTTATTAAACAGCCTGGCAAACGGGCAGGGTAGATTGGGCCCATGTGATGTTACTGGCTTGCATTTTGCCTTTGTGCGACCTTAGCCGAAACTGACCTTTCCCAGGAATGTTTTGGAAGCCTCGCTGAGTTTGCTACAGCAAAAATGTTCTTTCGTAATCACCGCCAGTCACATCAATGTATTTATAGGACAGGCCAAACAGTTTATTAAATAATTGTCTCTGTGTAATCTTTTTTTTTTTTTTTTGATCTGTGGTAGGGCGAATCCCTCCCTCTTTGAGAGTCAAAGGAATCAGAAATTTTGTCAGTAGACACGTTCAGTGGGAACGTGCATTATGCAGGTCCTATCCTCTGTGATGTTGAATGCGCCGCAGTTCCCCAAAGTGGGCTCATAGGGTGCCATTGTCCCCTGGGAACCACAAATTCCTCCCCACAAACCCCTTAGCATGTCTCAGTACCTGGACTCTGAAGTGTGTGGAGAAAGAATGTCCACTAATGCAAGTCTGCCAGTGCAGTAAGTCTGCCAGTTCAGTAAGTCTGCAGGACCAGCTCCTGTGTAGTTGCATGAATTGGAAGAGGGTCTGGCGTGGGGGGGGGGGGGCGTGCTTTGTGTAGCAGAAAAGCCTCCAGAGCCAGAATCTGCTCCTAAGGACCTTCTCTCTTACTGGATGTGTCCTCCACTTGGAGAATGACAGTAATTTATGCTGTGAGGACTTGGGGATGTGTGTTAGGGTGGGAAATAAATCCTGAGCCAGAACAGAAAGTAAAGGAACTGGGGTGCTCATCTCAGTGGTCTGCGGTGCCCATATTTTCATTTATCACTTAACAAAATTGCCAAGAGTACACCACTAGGAATCAATGAACGGAAAGGATCATTATGGTTTATCATGCAAATAGTACACTAATGCAAACAACTTGCTTAGCCTCAGATTTCCGTATGCCGTTAAGTGCATGCAGCCCTTGCCCTAGGATGGAAACAGCCAGAGGCCCAGTGGAAGACCAGGAAACCCCCCCCCACAATGCCGTCAGCCCTGTTTCTCCAGGGCACCTCACACTAGCAAAGGAGCACAACAGCCAAGACTCGTGCCAAGAATTTTAGTCATTTTGAAATGTACATTAGGGAATTTCTGGCAAAATATTTTCCCCCTCATTCTATTTAGTGAGATGGTATCATATACAAGAAAGAAGAAAGTCTGAATCTAAAATGAGAGGACTTGAATTCTGCTTTCAGTTGTGACACAAACCAGCGCTGTGACGAAATACACACACATAAAATGGTCTAATTCTTTATTAATTGAGCACACACAGACTTGGAGTTGGCAAACAAAGTTTCTAAGAAGCATACCATGTACTGAATTGTTGGGGGGGAAAGTAGCCTTAAATTAGAAATGTGTTATCACAATAGAGTAGAGAGGAACAATGGAGGGTAGTGGGAAAGATAGTGGGGCCCGTGTACAAGGACTACGCCATCCCATTCAAAACACGCGACCGTGAGCAAGTCCCTTCACCGCTCTGAGCCCCACTTTGTTCATCATAAAGTAGCAATAATTATTATTGCCTTCATGATCTTATAGCCAGTTGTAAAGAATAAATAAGTGAATGTGGGAATCCACGATAATACAGCAGGTTAGTAATATCTGCTGTTCCTCCTGTTGATGCTGTGGGAATTATCCATACCAAAAAACCCAACATCAAACTGGCAACTGGGGAAAATACAAGAATACCTCATTGCAAAACCCATCGATGATGGGAATAGGTTGAGAAAAAACATTTTTGGACTATATCCTGCAGGCTCACCCCTCTGACCTGGAAAGAATGTGCTGTACCGGAGCCTGGGATTTAGGAACACCACTCACTGAAAAATCAGGTGGTGATAGCCCTCTATGCAAAAGACATTTTCATATATGGCCAGAGACGCTTCCAGAATGCCACACCACCTTCTTTTTCTTCACTCTAGCCAGTTCTTGCTTTATTGACATGTGCAAAGATGACAGCCTTCGTTTTGAGGGTATACCATGGTAGGAAGAGATGGACCAGGGCTAGCTGTTGGATGTCTTTGAATGCACGATCATCCCCACAAAGGGAGACAGGGACAGTGCTCTGAGACTTGGTCCACTTCAGGAGGACCGGAGTGAGGGTCAAGTGGCATCCGACTCATCTGTTGTCTTGGAAGTCTGAGGAAAGAGGTCACAGCCTTCTGCCAACTTCAGTAGAGATTGGATGTGGACCTTAAGTGGGTTCCAGGCCTGAGTGAGGGGGAGGGGCTGCAGGTGGTGGGGCAGGTAAGGTTCTGCCTGTGGCCGGCATGAGGCAGAGGCAACCTCTACTAAGGAATGAACACACAGCAGCAAAATAAAAAGGAGCCTGTGAAGACCTACAACTACATGAAGGGAACAGAACCTTTATCTGAGAAAAAGAACATATCTTACAGTATAATTTTCTTCAGAAAACAGAAAAATTTAAACGGTACCTGCTTATCATACACAAGATGGTTTAGGAGCACCTGATTTCTTTTGAGCAACCATGAACTGAAAAAAAGCTGGGAGGAAGCAGATGTAAGAAAACAGAACTACCATATGATCTGGCAATCCCACTTCTGAGTGTAGATCCAAAAGAATTGAAATCAAAATCTCAAAGAGATTTTTCCTGCATTCCTATGTTCCTTGAAGCATTATTCACAATAACCAGAATATGGAAACAACCTAAGTGCCCACTGACAGATGAATGGGTAAAGAAAATGTGGTATATAAGAAGAGAGGTGGGGGGTTGTTGAACAGGTGATGCGGATTAAGGAGCGCACTTGTTAGGATGAGCACGGGGTGTTGTATGGGAGTGTTGAATCACGATATTGTACACTGGAAACTAATATACTGTATGTTAACTAACTGGACTTTTAATAAAAACTTTAAAAAAAGATGTGTTTGTAAACTTATGTGTAGAAGCATATGGGAATAGAGCTGCTCTTAACTCAATGAAACTGCACAGTGCATGATGTGTCTTTCAAGTAACATCTTCTTTCGTTAAGACATTAGTATTAAACAGGTTTTGATGAGGAAGTGGAGAAAGGGGAACCCTCTTGCACTGTTGGTGGAAATGCGAACAGGGGCAGCCACTCTGGAGAGCAGTATGGAGGTTCCTCAAAAAAGTTAAAAATAGAGCTACCCTATGACCCAGCAACTGCACTACTAGGTATTTACCCCAAAGAATACAGAAATATTAATTCAAAGGGATACATGCACCCCGATGTTTAGGGCAGCATTGCCTACTATAGCCAAATTATGGAAACAGCCCAAGTGTCCATCAACTGACGAATGGATAAGGAAGATGTGGTAGATACGATGGAATAGTACCAACCATAAAAAGGAATGAAGTCTTGTCATTTGCAAGGATGTGGGTGGAGCTAGAGTGTATTACGCTAAGCAAAGTAAGTCTGTCAGAGAAAGACAAATACCACACGATTTCACGCATGCGTGGAATTTAAGAAACAAAATGAAGAAGCAAAGGGTGGGGGGAGAGACAAGCAAACCAAGAAATAGACTCCTAACTATAGAGAACAGACTGGTGGTTACTAGAAGGGAGGTGAGTGGAGTCGGGCATGAGGGAAATAGAGGATGGGGACCCCATCAAGTGAATTTCTGATGAGCCCCAGGTGTTGTATGAAAGTGGGGAATCACTATATTGTACACCTGAAATTAATATCACACTATGTCTTAACTAACTGGAATTGAAAACCTAACTAAAAAAAAAAATGTGATATATACATATAGTGGAACATTATTCAATGTTCCTTAAAAATGAAGGAAATTCTGACACATGCTACAGTGTGGATGAACCTGGAGGACATTATGCTCGGTGAAATTAGCCAGTCACAGAGGGACAAATACTGCATGATTCCCCTTACGTGAAGTATCTGAAATACCCTCAGAGTAACAGAGCAGAATGGTGGTTGCCAGGGCTGGGGCAGGAGGAAATGGGGAGTTTAGGTTCAATGGGTGCAGTTTCAGTTACACAAAATGAGTAAGTTCTAGAGACCTGCTGCACAACATTGTGTTAACAATACTGTTCTACTCTGTGCACTTAATACTGTACAACTAAAAATTTGTTAGAGAATAAGTCTCACGTTACATGTTCTTCTACAATTTTTTTAAAAAAAGAAAAAGTAAAAACCAAAAGGAGCATATCTCCCTTTCTCAGACAGGCCTATTCTAACCACTCAATTTAATACCAAAAGCACCCAAGATCTCCAACCCAAGTGCTCCACCATATAAGTTATATATTTGTTAGATTTACTGTTTTGCCTGTTTCTCCTAACAGAATTCTAAGCTCCTTGAGAGCAGGGATCTTTGCTCAGTGAGGAAACCCCAAGAGCTTAATATTACTGGCATATAATTAGCACTCACTTAAAATCTCTGTTGGATGAATAACTTATAGATGTTCCTAAAGAAGAAACCAGAATAATAGGTACAACAGCAAAAATTAAATTCAAAATATAAAAATTAAATTATTAAATATTGAAAATAAAACTTTGTGCTCTAAAATAAATTGTTCAGG